CCGCAGGCTCCTCCAGCTGCTGGGGAGGCTCTTCTGCAGGAGGACCGACAGGGGTGGTTGGTTGTGTGGGGGGTTCCTGGGGTCCCCCTCTGTGTGTGTCCCCTGAAGCACACATGAATGGTCCCACAGCACCCATATCCATGGAGGGAGCACGGGTCCCCTGCACCCCAGCCACAGGAGGGAACAATCTCCTCCACTCCCTCCACAGCCACTGACCAGGTGGTGCCATCACTCATTGCAATGGGAAAGTGAGGCGCAGGCACTGGTGTGCCTCAAAGCACTGGGGGAACCGGTGGCAGCACTGGGACAGGACCCGGCCATCCCTGCTGCTGCTCTGGCCACCTGAACAGCATCCCGCCACATCCCCTCTGCCAGGACGAACACCCCAGATGGCCCTGTGGTGGGACATGGAGGGGATGCAGAGGACAAGCTCTGCCCCACCGTGTCCCCTGCACGCGGCACTGCTCACCTCCAGCTGCGTCATCTTCTCACCGGGGCCAAACCCATCCCACAGGTCTCGCTCATGGGTCTCATCGGGTACCAAAGGAAACGAACCGAAAAACAGGCGGTACACCTGCATGGGGGATGGGAGCGGGGCTGCTGAGCGCACTGGGAGTGGAGGCACTCGTTTGCCCAGCAATGCCCCAGCATGGGGTGGCAGGGCAGGATGAGTCCTGGCCGGGTGCCCACTGACTCCCACCCGGTAGGTGTGGTGGTCAGGGCTCAGTCTGGGGCAGGACATGCCCATTCACTGGGGCAGTGCAGACCCCTGCAAAGCCTGGCCCTGCAGCACCGCACGGTCACCCACCTCCTGCAAGTCACCACCCATCTCCCGCAGGTCATCACCCACCTCCCGCAGGTCAACGCTGGAACCCAGGAGCAGCTCGGCCGTGCTATTGGGGAGGGACAGGTTCTGCGTCAGGAAGCGGTGCAGCTCGCCCTGGTCCTTGGCCGCCCACGCCAGCGTGAAGCCAGATCCTGGCAAGGAGCAAGGCAGGGGGGTCAGAGCAGCCCACCAGCGTCGGGGACACGACACAGCCCCGGGTGGGGACATATCACAGCTGGCCCTGCCCGGCACACAGTGATGTGGGACAGTGGCAGCGCACCACCACGTGCCATCACATCGCTGGGTGCCTGGCAGGTGGGCATCTCCATCCCTGCCTGCGCAGGCAGCGGGGGGGCAGGGAGGACCCAGCCTACCTGCTTGGTTGCTGAAGTGGGTCTCCATGGAGCTGGGCTCGTTGCTGCTGAGTGCCTCCAGGCGCCGGCGCAGCGACTCCAGTTCCTCTTCCAGCCCTGGGTGCTGTGGGTCGAAGAGGCTGCTCTGCTCCACCGCTTCGCTGAGGTGCTCCAGGAGCTGCGTCACCCTGCAAGGGCCCAGCACCACCGCTGCTTCAGGGACAGGGACAGAGGCATGGGGACACCTTCCACAGAGCTCTGTGGGGTGCATGGGGCAGCACTGCTGCCCCAGGAGCTGCCCTCGCCTGTGCACCGTAATCCATCATGCCAGGGGTGCAGAGGAGAGCCCCAGGGTCTTGAGGTGTCCCCAGGGGCCACCTCCATCCTCTTCCCAGCACTGGTAACCCATGGGGGAAATGGGCTGAGATATTCCCTGCACCCCAGGGACACGGTGCTCTGCACCCAAGCTCTTTGGGGGACACAGGCTTGTGCCTTGTGCCCAGAAGGGCAGTGTCAGGGTGGGAAGGGGCAGGCTGTGCGTGGGAGCAGGCAGGGCAGGAGGAGGAAGCGCGCGGCGAGGGCACGACTCACGTGGAGTTGGAATACTGCAGGAAGCCGAACTCGTCGCGCTGGCCGTCGGGGCACAGGGACTGCATGACAGGCAGGATCCCGGCCGAGGTGAGAGGGGCCGCCGTGTAGAAAGCTGGAGCCAGCAGGAGAGCGCAGAAGAGGCCGGGGAAGGTGTGGGCAGAGAGGAAGGAGAGGCGGGGGGAGGCAGGGGGCCACCGGAGAGACAGACACTCAGTTCAGAGAAGCAGGCGCTGGGCCCCGTGAGTCCCGCAGGAGGTTGGTGGCCAAGGTCCCAAGTCTGCAGCTTTCCCACCAAGGCTGTCCCCAGCTGGTGG